CATCCCCATCGCCACCACCACTGCCATCCCCATCTCCACCACCATCACCACCACCACCGCTGCCATCAGTCCTACAGTCACCACCGTGACCATTACCAGCACCACCTCTATGTCATCAAATTCATGGGTGTCTGTAATTCTGATCCTTTCTTTTATCTCTATCACATAGTCATCCAGCTTATCCCTGACAGGATACTCACTGCCTACCCAGGCAGCACATTACTTTGCGGGGCGGCTTCAGTTGTTACAAACTTCTTCCTTACATAGACTCAGGTCCACCTCCATGTAACTCCCAATTTTTGTATTTCTGTCTTTTGGGCCCTTATTTCACAGGATAAGTTGTTGATTCTTGAAGAGAGCTCGCGTTTGCCTCATCCAGGGTTCTTTCTTCCAAGAAAAATCTTTCAGTCCCAGACAAGCCTGTTGCCTCACTCTTTTGTTTTTTTTTTTTTTTTTTTTTTTTTTTGCTTTGCAAGGTCCAAGTTCAAACTGTGTCTAGCAGTGTGACAGCCTATTTCCTGTTTTCAGACTACTTTGACCAAAGCGTTTCTTCAGGCCTATAACCCGGGCTCTGTATCCTGCTACCAGTGCTCAGGCCCTGGAGATAGCCATCATGCCTTTGCATCATCCTGGCCCGTAGAGGGGCCCAGTGTGTGGTGGATGCGTGAGTACATAGATGGGGTCAGAACAGCCTCTACCAGCACACAACTGGACCCAGCTTCCGCTCTCTCCTTGTCGGAAATAATCTTCACTGTTTTCAAAAAGATGCATTAGAGTCTTATCCCAGTTCGTTTTGATTAAGAACCTATACTACTCCCTTCGGTGAGAGAATGACGATTAGGGCATTTGCGGAAAAGTCTCTCATGGCTTCATTATTCGTTCTTCTTTGAAGACTTAGTGTTCACTGGCTCTCTTGAACTTCTCTATTGAGTACTAAAGAAGAAGTAAATGTGTCAACAGATGAGGAATTTTTCTCTTCTGATAAATATGGTACTGCAGAAGAAATAGATTCCAGGTAGTCACAAGGCAAGTGACTGCTGAAGCCTTCCTATCCAGGCATTGGCCTGCTATCAACCATAAGGCTGTCGCGACAGATCACTTGTTCTTCCAATTGACAGGGCTGGGAAAGCAGCCTTATCTCCTTGTTCAAAGTCAATGGGATGCCAGTAGCTTGCACATATCTTTTAAACTTAGTTATCTCTGTTATTTTCTCTCTTTCACATGATCAATCCCCTTTGAAGTCAAAGCCATTCTCTTTGGCTGCATTTCCATTTGAGTCACTGCTTACGTTATTGGGTGGTTAGGTGGGGGTGGGGGGACATAGTTCTTAAAGGATCTTAGAACCTACATTTAGGATGGCTGATTTAACTTAGAATTTCAAGGAAGTCTGTACTTCGAATTAATGTGTCATTAAAATAGAAACATTTGGACCATAGCAAGTGGGATGGTATCGCTGTACTTTTGAAGGCATTGAATGGGAAAGCAGTTAAACAGACTCCTTTTAAAAGAGTTTACAAAGTTCCCAAATGATTTAGGAGTGTGAGTCCACGAGTTAGAAACTCTTATTGCCATAAAAGTTACAACCGGACTTCTGGTTGGTGGTTTTATTGTTTATATAATGCATTCCGGATGTTTCTAAAGGCCTTGAACAAATTTAAAATTTCATGACTGTGGACGTATGTATCATAGGAGCAAATGGTAAACACCAAATAAAAGCATAATCTTAGAGTTTGACATAGGATACTGTCGAGATAACGAGTTTCACTGTAAATCTTCTGGTTTATTGACAAAATCTTGTTAATTGCATTTATGGTTCTAATGCTACAGTCATTCAAAAACAGATGGTTTTCAGTAAACTACTATTCTGTTAAACTAGTATATGGCTGGCGTCACTCTAGCCAATAATGTATGAATTCTTCAGAGCACATCATATATTGAATAAGATAAAAGGACATTGATAAATTAAGCAGTATTAAAGACCCTCGAACTGTTCCTTCTTCTGATAATTATAATTTCTTCTAAAATAGGTACACCCCAAGTAATTAGGATGTTTTCAAGTATGAGAACTTCATAAATACACTAGATAAATTTGTATAGGCCTTTGGTTTAGAACTAAGCAAAAGGGGTCATTCTCTTCTTTTCGTGAGGAAAAAAAATTGGGTACTTGTAAAGCACAGCCCAGTGAAGGAGTTCATTTTTCTCCCTCATTTTATTTCAGAGAGGGCAGTAGGTCTAATGTTTGATTTGTCTAAATCCCTTGCACATTGGGCGGACACCGCCTGCAGACCTCCCTCCAGCCTCTCTCTCGTTCTAATTGCATTGCTGAGCGACCCGAGGGCCTCGTCAGGGCGGACACCTGCCTGTGCTATACATGGGGTCCTCCACTGCTGTTGGGCTGGACTTCGTTTCCTGCTGGTACGCTGTAGATCACAGGGTCAGTCTTTGAAGTGCAAAGTTTATATGTTGTGTTGTTGGGTGCTGTTGAATCGATTCTGACTCATAGTGACCCCGTGTGACAGAGTAGCACTGCGGCATAGGGTTTTGTTGGCTGTAGTCTTCACGGGAGCAGATCACCAGGTCTTTCTCTCGCAGAGCTGATGGGTAGGTTGGAACTGCCTACCTTTTGGTTAGTAGTTGAGCACTTAACCGTTTGCACCACCAGGGCTTCTTAAAGTTTATAGTCATCTACGGATACTTTTAAATATTTGCGTTCAGAGTACTTCCAGTGATCCTGATACAGTTCGCTGCACTGAGGCCTGCAGTCATGGGAGAGGCCCCAGCGTCCGGCTGACGTGATTGACCCGGTCAGCCCGCCAGCCGTCCTGTTGCTGCTCCCTTCCCCTGCACGAGGGAGTCTCTTCTCTCCTGAAGGCTCCCAGGGACCGCAGACCCATCAGTTCATAAACACTTGACAGAAGCTTCGCTTTCTTACAAATGAAAATAATCCTCAGTCAAACCAGCTCTCAGCCCAGCGTCTGGGCCCTTGGGGTCCTTCTTGCCTCTTACAGGCACTTAGGCTGTGATGTGGACATTCAGGGAAGAGTTACTCCTTGCGACCCTATCTAACGGCTCTCGTCCCCCTCCCCAGGAATGTACGAATCGCTGCTGCAATGCCAGTACCTGCACCCTGAAGCCAGACGCCGTGTGTGCACATGGGTTGTGCTGCCAGGACTGCCAGGTGAGCTTCCTAAAGCGGCGACCTGCCCCCAGGGCCACCGACAGGTTCAGGTGCTTCAACAGGGACGGGGCAAGCAGTGCTGGCAAGACCACTGCCCAGCGCTCTTGGCCTGAGACCCAGTGCTCACTGCCTTAGAGACAGACCCTTAATGCGCAACTTGATGTTGTCCGCCTCCTATTTTTATTATCTCCCCATTTAGTGTGAAATGCACATGTTAATTGCATTTTCTGATGCATTATGTATGCATGGGCTTAAAAGTCGTTGGACCTAACGGGGAGTCATTGCTCAGTGGGTGCAGAGTGTCTGCCTGGGGTGACGGACAAGTTTGGAAATGTACAGTGGTGATGGTCACACAAAATGGTGACTGTGATTAATGTCACTGAATTATACACTTAACAATGGTTAAAATGGCAAAAAAAAAAAAAATTTTTTTTAATAGTATTGTGTTTTCGGTGAGAGTTTACACAGCAAATTAGCTTCCCATTTAACAATTTCTATGCGAATCATTCAGTGACAATGATTACATTTTTCACAATGTGTCGGCGTTCTCATTAATTCTGTTCTGGTTGTTCCATTTCCAGTAATCTCGTTTCCCTGCCTCCGTACCTTCTCATCTTTGCTTTAGGGTAATTGTTGACCATGTGGTCTCATATAGGTGATTTTTTAAAGGAGCACAGTACTCACAGGTAATATTCTTTATTTTATGAGCCGCTCTGTTATTTAGCTAAAAGGTGACCTCAGGGGTTAGTTTCCGTTCAAGATTTAAAGAGTATCTCCGGGCGATAGTCTCAGAGAATCCTCCAGTCTCAACCGGTCCAGTAAGTCTGGACTTTTTAAGAATTTCGAGTTCTGCATTTTTCTCATGTTCTATCAGGATCCATCTATCGTGGCCTTGATCAGAATGGTTGGTAGTGGTAGCCGGGCATCATCTAGTTCTTCTGATCTCAGGATGGATGAGGCCGTGGTAGACTATCTGTCCGGTAGACTAGTTTCTTCTTTGAGTCTTTGGTTTCCTTCTTTCTCTTTTGCTGCAGAAGAGTAGAGACCAATGGTTGTACCTTAGACGGCTGCTTGCAGACTTTTAAAGACCCCAGCTACTATTCACCAAACTAGGATTTAGAATGTAAATTTTATGAACTATATTATGTAAAATGGCAAACTTTATAGGCACTCTGGTAGTGCAAACAGTTAAGCACTCAGCTGCTACCCCAAAGGTTGGCAGTTCAGACCCACCCAACAGCTCCACTGGAGAAAGACCTGGCAATCTGCTCCTATAAAGATTACAGCCAAGAAAACCAGTTCTACTCTGTCACATGGGGTCATTACAACATGGAGTCGACTCAACAACACCCAACAGCAACAACAGCATATTTTACCAAATTTTTTTTTTAATAATTGGATCAAAAACTTGAGCTATATGTTACAGTGTCCAGTGGTGCTGTTAGCAACACTTGGAGTCCTGTATTGATAATGAAAGGAACTTTGGTGCAAGACGTCCCTGCTCGCCTGCCAGTCAGCCTCCCATGGGTCCCTCCTCTTTATTCCCAGGAATGTCTGCCTGCTTGGCTGAGAAACTGTGCGAGTTGTTCCAGGGGTTTTGTATAAACATATTGATCTTAATGTCCTCCTAATTGAAGGTGTTGGCTGACCCCGCCCAGCCAAGAGTGGCAGATTTATACTTTGGCCATTCCTGCCGCCATGATTGCATTTGTTTTGGCAAGTCCGTTGTTTGTCTCCTTATTCAGAGCTGAGATCTGACAACGAGTAGAAGCCTGAACTCTGGATTCCAAGGTTCCAAGGGTAGTGTTTTATTCTTTTTAATTAAGCAACTGATCTTGGCATTCTGCTTTCAGGAAACTCCCTCTTAGCTACCCCACTAGAGCATGATTTGAGTCAAACATGCAATGCATTTTTATTCAGCTTTGAAATAGCCTTCATCCCCTTCCTAGTTGTGATTAGCTTCTGGGGAAAGTTCAAAGAGGCTGGCACTCCCTGGCACCCAGCAGCTGGCAGTGGAAGGTGCCTGGGAGAGGGTTGAGGGGAAGGGTACAAGGCCAGGCTTATGCCCCGGAGATGCCCAAGGCAAGTCCCGGGAGGAAAGGGGGTGAGGTCATGAGGCAATGCCTGGGTGTGACGGCTTTCATGTAATGCCTTTTAAACAATTCCTTTTGACTTGCAGGCCTTTCTGAAGATAGCAGGAGTCTTATCTCATGCCTTGCGTGTGTGCAGAGAACCAAGCTCAGGACGGGGGTAGCTGCAGGAAACCTTAAGCCACTCCAAACCTTAATTTCCTCAACTGTGAACCGATGAGGGCCTGGTCGGGTGGTTTCATTTGCTTTTTCTCTACCTCGTTCCTTAAAGCACTAGAGACTACGACGTGACGACAAATGGCTGTCGTGCTCACACCCGTGGAGTCGTCTTTGTTAACCTCCCCCGCAGTTGCATTTTAAAGCATGAGTTGGTGTTGGCACCTGAGATCTTCTTCTTAAGAATCAACAAACCCAGTAGCCCACGCTCCCCTTCCTGCCTCCCCTTCCACGGAGGGGCCAGCGGCCGGCTTCTCTGCTCATCAGGAACCCCTAATGTTGCATGGAATTAAAAAGAGACGTCCCCTCGTTGCCCGCCATAGTGGAATGGTGGAAAGCCGAGCCCGAAGCAAGACACTGCCTATTTAACGAGCTCCCTCTGCTGTGGAAGGGGCTTCTCTTGAAGCCCTTGTCCCTCTACAGAGGCTGTATTAGGGGCCCTTGCTCCAGTTCACCCCAAGAGTCTGCTCCCTGCTTCCCTGCGGGGTGCATGCCCTGACTGCCCCTCTCCTTTCAGCCGAAGCCTGCGGGAACGGCATGCAGGGATTCCAGCAACGCCTGCGACCTCCCTGAGTTCTGCACGGGGGCCAGTCCTCACTGCCCAGCCAACGTCTACCTGCACGACGGCCACCAGTGCCAGGGGGTGGACGGCTACTGCTACAACGGTGTCTGCCAGACCCACGAGCAGCAGTGTGTCACGCTCTGGGGACCAGGTACATGGCCGGGGAGGCCGCTGGCCAGCCTCTGAGTAAAGGGTTTGTGCGGCGCCTCTGGGCCATGGGGCTGTGGGAGCCTGTGGGGCTGGGGAAGTCCCTGGGATGGGGGAGTTGCTGGCCACCTCTGGGCCATGGGGCTGTGGGAGTCGCTGGTAGGCCCCTGGGTGGAGGATTTGGGGGAGCCACTGGTCACCTCTGGGCTGTGGGGCTGTGGGAGCCGCTGGCCGCCTTTGGGCAGTGAGGCTGGGGGTGAGGGCACTCCATCCCCACAGCTCTCTTTCCTGGAGTCTGATCTAAGAGGCTGCGGTAGAGTTCGCAGGGAGGAGATGTCTACAGATAGGGCCAAAGGTGTGCGGGGCGCTGGCTGAGCACAAATGAACACCCCTGGAGCCTATCCTGGGGGCGCTCAGGGCAGTCCAACAACAGATGTGAGAGCACCCACAGCGTGTCCCTGGGTGGCTGAGCTGAGTCAGCCACAGTCCCTGCCCTCAGAAAGCTCATAATGTAGTCGGCAAGACAGATAGACAGATGTGGGAAATGCCTCTACGTGCTCTGATGAGGCCCCAAACCACAGGCTGCGGGTACCCAGAGAGGGGACGATCACTTCGGCCAGAGGGGCCAAGGGCTGGGTCAGAGAGGCCCTGAGTGGACTTGGTGGGTGGCTTAGTCATCTAGTGCTGCTATAACAGAAATACCACAAGTGGATGGCTTTAACAGAGAAATTTATTCTCTCAGTCAAGTAGGATACAAGTCCAAATTCAGGGCCTCAGCCCCAGGGGAAGACTTTCTTTCTCTGTCGGCTCTGGAGGAAGGTCCTTGTCATTGTCATCAGTCTGGTGAAGGAGCTTCTCAGCGCAGGGACCCCAGATCCAAAGGACGTGCTATTCTCTTGGCTCTTGTTTCTTGGTGGTATAAGGTCCCCATGTCTCTCTGCTCGCTTCTCTCTTTTATATCTCAAAAGAGATTGGCTTAAGACACTATCTAATCTTGTAGATCTCATCAATGTAAGTGCCGCTAATCCATCTCATTACATCATGGTGATAGGATTTTCAACACACAGGGAGATCACATCAGATGACAAAATGGTAGACAATTATACAATACTGGGAATCGTGACCCAGCCAAGTTGACAGATATTTTTGGGGTATACAATTCATGACACTCTGCTTCTTGGGACTGAGGATGCAGCTGAGGCCTGGCTTCCCAGGGAGCTGCCTCATCTTCCCTGGAAGCCTCGTTTGAGCCCTCTCCCTCTGCTAATCACCATCACCCCGATAATGGAGGAGGCCTCTCCCTGGGAGCCGTGTACCGAGGGCATGCGGCAAAGAGGACATCACCCCCAGGCTCAGAGTTCCTAGACAGGCAAACACAGCCTCAGGTGCGGGGCACCACCTCAGGCTCCCGATACCTCAGGTGTCAGCCTATCTCTGTCAACCCCATCTTAGTACTTCAAGTCACCACAGAAGCTTCCTCAGGGAGCGAGCAAACACAGCGTGCCAGAGCCGGCTGTGGCCCTCTGGGTGGGGGCTGCTCAGAGTGGGCCTGAACGGCCCCTCTGCAAACACCCCTGCTCCGTTCCCCACCACCCCCCATCATGCAGCCGCCCGCTTGTCCCACTCAGGGCACTGCATGAGACCCTCCAGGTTGTCACAAACTGCCACAGACTCAGTGGCTTAAAACACGATAGATTTATTCACTTAGAGCTCCAGAGGTCAGAAGTCCAGAGTCAAGTGTGAGCAGGGCTGTGCTCCTTCTGGAGGCTCCAGGAAAATCCGTTGCCCCGCCTTTTCCAGTTCCTCGGACCCTCCCACAGTCCTTGGCTTGTGCCCCTTCTCCAGATCTCCGTCTCTGACTGGGACTCTCCTGTCTGTTACACGGATACAGGTGATGACACTGGGTCTGCCCAGATAATCCAGGCTAATCTCCCCGCCCAAGATCTTTAACTTAATCACATCCACAAAGTCCCTTTTGGCGTGTCAGGTAACGTTCACCAGTTCCAGGGCTTCTAATGTGGACATCTTTGGGGGCCGTTATGCTACCCATCACAGGCATTGAACAGACCACTTACTAGCAGCCTAGCCTTAGGCAAGTTACTCAGCCTTTCTGTGCCTCGTCGGTAACATGGGGACAGTGGTGTGAATCAACAGACTGTTATCCTCCAGCGTAGCCTGTGTCTGTGTATAGAGTACGTGCGTGGTACCGGATGCATGGTAACTAGGAAATATAAACTCTATAAATAAGACGTGGCCTGTGCTCTCAAGAAGATCACAGACTAGGGCGCAAGATACTCGAATCCTTGAGGCTGGTAGTAAGGACTGTGAGAGGATTGTGGGGACACGGAGGAGAGGGGGCTCAACTTGGTGAGTGGAGGAGGCCGCCAGCGGGAGGCCCTGGCGCACTTGTTCATGGGTTGAATTTTATCCCCCCAAAATAGGTTGAAGTTCTAATCCCTGGTAAGTGCAAATGAGCCCTTATTTGGAAATAGGGTCTTTAAAGATGTTATCAGTTCACATGAGGTCATGTTGGAGTAGGGTGGGTCCCAATGCCATCTGAGTGAGTCCTTGTTAAAAGAGACAGAGAGACACACAGGGAAGACGGCCACGTGAAGGTAGAGGTAGACATTGGGGGGGTGCCGCTGCGAGCCGAGCACTGCTAGGAACCACCAGACGCCGACAGGAGCAAGCAAGGATCTTGCCCCAAAGCCTTCAGAGGGACGTGGTCCTGCCGACAACTGGATTTCAGACTCCTGAGCTCCAGAAGCGTGAGACGATGTATTTCTGTTGTATTAAACCACCTGGTTTGTGGTGCCTTGTTACGGAGTCTCTAGGACATTCATACAGTGGTCATTAGACGAGAGGAGAGGATGTAAAATATAGCATTTATTCCAGCCTATAGAATAGCACGGGCCATGGCCCCCAAGAACCTGGGGCAATCCAGGGGATGGCGGGGGTTTCTGTTTGGCTGGAGCTTGGGTGGTGCCTTGGAGAGTATAAATCCTCATCTACCACCCATTCCCTCACTCACTGAATGTTTATTGACTCCCGCTGTTTGTACAAGAGCAATCCCAAGGTGGCGCAAACAGTTAAGCACGCAACTGCTAGCTGAAAGGTTGGCAGTTTGAACCCACCTAGAAGCACCTCAGAAGACAGGTGTGGCGATCTGCTTCCAGAAGGTCACAGCCATGGAAAACCCAATGGAGCAGTTCTACTCTGCACACTTGGGGTCGCCATGAGTCAGAATCCACTTGAAGGCAACTAACAGCAACAAGTTTTACAACGCAGACTCAAAAGCCCTGATTCTGCCAGAGTAGCATCCTCCCTGTAGGCCCCGTGCCCTCTTCCTAGGCCTGGATTCAGGGCCAGGATGTGACCCCATCCTGCTGTCCTCACAGGAAGCATTAGTCCCGGACAAATCCAGTCCCAGGGACAGAGGTAACTTCCTCGCCCAGGCCCCTGGAAGCCCAGGGCCATTACTGGCCAGATGTGCCGTGTTGAGCGCTTTCTAATGCTTTGTTACAGTGGGTGGTTCAAATTAGCTTGTCATGATTTCAGAAAGAAAAATGGAGCATCATGGATGCATTTGCAGTGTTTAGTTTCCCCATCCATTAGCGGATGCTCTGGGACCTGGACCACGTTCGCTTGGGGGTCATTTCAGGCCTCCTGGAAGCACTGGGCGTCACTGAGTTCTTGCCCGGCTGGTTCATGCCATCCACACCCTGGTGACCTGACCGAGTTGTTGAGTCATCCAGGATTCTCTGGTTACATCCAGGATGGCGTTGACTCATTACCCAGAGCTGGCTGCCCAAACACTGGCCGGATGAAGCCCTTCCTTCCAGCTAACTATTCCCTCCTGAAACAAGCTTTTCTCGTTCCAGCGTTATATTTCAATACGATAATCCGGCTTCCAAATCTTTCTACAAATAAAGTGATAGAAAATTCAAAACATATGCCTGCAACTCCTAACTCGCAATGTAAGATGCTATTAGAATACGTTTTGGGGTTTTGGTTAGTTTGTTTTGCTAATTGTTGCTGTTGATGATGTTCTTATTGGCTAGGAGCATAATATTTTCTCCCCTCACTGCTTTTCTCCCATAAATCTTATATCTCAAGGCTTTCTCTGTCCACATCAAACACGTAAATGTTATCTGCAGTTCAAACTGCGTGACTTGCCTTTAGCTCTTGTCATGGTTGGAATTATGTCCCCCAAAAAATGTGTGTATCAATTTGGCTAGGCCATGATTCCTGGTACTGTGTGATTTTCCTGGATGTTGTAAACCTGCCTCTATGATGTTAATGAGGGAGGATGGGGGCGGTTGTGTTAGTAAGGCAGGACCTGATCTACAAGACTGGTTTGTGTCCTGAGGCAATCTCTTGAGATACTAAAGACAGAAGTGAGCAGTGAGACAGGGGGACCTCATACCATCAAGAAAGCAATGCCGGGAGCAGAGCGCGTCCTTTGGACAGGGGTCCCTGCGCCGAGAAGCTCCTCGTCCGGGGGAACACTGATGAGAAGGCCGACAGAGAGAGAAAAAGGCTTCCCCTGGAGCTGACGCCCTGAATTGGGACTTTTAGCCTACTTTGACCGTGAGGACATAACTTTCTCTTCGTTAAAACCATCCACTTGCGGTGTTTCTGTTATGGCGGCGCTAGATGACTAAGACAGCTCTCTTTGTCCAGTTCAGTCTTAACATCCTCAAAGATTTTCTGTCAGTGTGATGTGACCCTTTACTCCTCCTGAAATACAACTGAATCTTTTTCTTCAGGCAGCACATTACTTTTGCCAGCATTGTTTATCAGTTGGTAACTGAAAACATTATTTGGAAATCAGTCTTACAGATAACGACCTGTCTTGAGCCAGAAACAATTCACATCAGGGAAGTTCTGAAATACGTTCATTTTATCTCATTTATCACCCACCAGAATCCAGTGCTGCTTGATTTGCGCGGTGTGAGCTGGTCAGGCCATTTTTATGGGCTGGTAAATATTCGGTGCTTATCT